ATAATCTAAGAGCCAGCATGATGGTTTGAGCATTAAACTATGACTCTGGAGATCTGGGTTCATTTCTCAATTCAGCCTTGGAAACCAATGGGGTGACCCTGACCCTGGGTGAGTGACACACTCTCAACCAGAAAAGTTTGCCTTAGAGTCACCATAAGTAAGAAATGATTTGAAGTCATACAACAACAGAAACAACTAATTTGTACCCCAACATAGGCATCATCATAATACTATACTCTATGGTTGACTTTCTCACTTGGAATGCTGGATGCTCAAATTTAGAAGTATAAAAGGACATTAAAGTACATGACAACAGCTGCAAGAATAACATATGGTCAATGATTGAAGACTACTGTTATTCCTTCTCAAGAAGGCTGGCTGATGAAGGTGATTGAACTGGCTGAAATGGACAAATTGACAATGTTGATCAAAAAGAAATATTTGAATAATTTTAAGAAAGATTGGGAAATGTTTATTGCTTATTTTCAGTTATAAGGGGATACAAATCAATTACAGGGTTTGTTAAATAAGCAGAGTTTGTTACTGCAGAGGCACAAATATAATATCATATAAGGGAAGTATAATAAACTGGTATATATCCATTAGTTAGGATATATATCCATTAGTTAGGCAGGGGAAGTCAGTGATATTTGTTAGATTTAGTTGAGTAGTTTATATTGTAATTGTATTTGTTTGTTTTAGTTGCACATAAAATATGTTTGTGCTTGTGTTTATGTTTAATAAAAGGGTTTAAAATGAAACTATCCTCTATGGCTTTGTGTTTTTACTATGCTAGGCCTTTTTAATTTGGCATTGTATATTTATGTCAACAAGAGGACTCAGAGTATTCCCCTTTATGTGGTTATTGGCAGATTTTCACATAATGAAGTCTGCTGAAGGTCACTCAAATTAATTCACATTTGATGGAAAAGTCAACAAATATCTTATCTTGAGAAGAAGGGTAAGTCTGCAACAGTCCTAATGAAATTTACAGGGCAGTAAGGGACATCAAATGCAATGGATCTTAATGCTGAGTACGCTTGCACAGGATTTGGCTCTAACTGGTGGTGATTGTCAGTGGTGAGGAATGGCATATGTCCAACATTTCATGGATGTAAACCTGGACATGTGTGGACCAGCAATATTTAAATGTGGTCAAGATGGGAAAAGTTATTAATGAGAATGAGCAAACAGCTAGGAGATGCTACAGCAATTTGCTTTTGTCTGTGCCTACTGGAAAGGAAAAGATTCTGTCTTCTCCTCTTCTTTCCTCCTTGTTGAGTCAACTGAGTACAAACTACTTTTGCACTTTGAACTCAGTTTGCAGCAAGTGAAGCTGAGGACAAGGGGGGAAGTGGGAGGGGGAGGAGGAGGGAAATTTGGTACATTTCAGAAGCAGCTGAAACACTGGGATGACCTTGCGACCCTCCCTGACAAATTGTGACAGTTAAACAGTATCGGAAGCAGAGATGCATATCATATGAGAAAGATATTTTACATTATTAGTAGATTTTTAAAAGTGGATTTAGACCTTGAAAGAAGTCTCTTGGTGCCTAGAGGCTTCTGTACAAGGCACTGAGCAACATTTCTTCTTTCCAAAAAAAAATTAAACTGGACAGCATATTTTGACCTATTCTATATTTATTCTTTACAGTGAGAATCCACTGGAGGGCTATTTATGTGAATAAGATTTCACACATTTCTAAGTAACAGTGATTTAAGTCACAGGAGGTTTTGTGAAAATGAACAAAGTAAGAACAGCAAAGCATGCATAAAATCTGTATTAGCAGCAACTTAATAAGGTTGATTTTATTCTCTGAAGATTTACCAGCTACATAGATTACCATACTGAATAAACTTTAGAGTGATCACCTGTACTCATCTCCCACCTGCTCAGGTTCTTGATGTGCACTTGTTATCTACAGCAAATGATATAAAATGGATGGCTGTTCACTCCTTCCAACAGTTAATGGGCTACAGTAATGAATGGCAAATCAATGTGATTCAATACAATGCATGCCTAACTTGGGAGAAAGCATCAGTTGGATATGGAATACTTTTGCAGGCATTTTATCACGCCTTTCTATAATACTTTGTTTTGGGTTGAATAAATCACTGAACTATACAAACAATG